TGGACTCTCTCCAGTAGCTCCTCATCTTTCTTGAACTGGGGAGCCCAGCACTGGACACAGCACTGCAGATGAGGCCTCACTAGGGCAGTGTAGAGGGGGAGGAGAACCTCCCTCGCCCTGCTGCCCACACTCCTTCTAATGCACCCCAGGATCCCATTGGCCTTCTTGGCAACCAGGGTAACTTTGTATTTAAGCTTTGCTCTCTGTAGGTGTAAGGTTGGTGTGGTAGAGGGGCTCCCTAGGTGGGCGATGCTGTAATCTGGTTTGTGAGGGTTGTCTCCAGTACTGAATTCAGAAGTAATCTGAGACTATAATAAGGGGGAGAAGTCTAAATTTATTTCATTCAGTTCTACTGTCTTGAACTTTGTGCAGTTCTTACTTGATGCATAATTTAAACATGTTTTTTGGTCATATCTTCTCATTTTGGAAATGATTTATGGTTCTTGTTTGATAGTGATGTAAACCCTGTGATGGCAGAGGGGGGGAACTTCTTTGTGTGAAGCGAATGATGCTTTCATTGTGGTCTGTCTTTCCAACGACCAAAATGGCGTATCAAAGTAAATACGAGTTTTTTCCCCCTTTTCCACCCTTTTGTTCAATCCCTGACTCTTTTAGAGGAGTCATCAGTCAGAACGAGGGACTGCAGACAATTCGTGCTGAGGTTGTGTGGTTTCTTCCAAGGCAGACGACAAGTGTTCCTGTATGAGGTGCTTATCCTGTGAAGTGCTGGCAAAGCTTGGGCCATCTCGGTTTTGATTCAGTGAAGCATTTTCCATCGTAACGTTACACTCCGAGGTGTAATTACAAGTTCTGCGGGATCCTAGGTTTGCTTGAAAGTATGCTAGAGATCTTTTTAAGGAGAGCACTGTTTTTACCTACGTGATTGCAGGAGAAGGAAAAGTCATTCCTCTCTCTACCAGCCCTCCAGCCTGCACACAGCGAGAGCACCTGCGAGTCTGGGAGAGGTCCTGGTCCCCCTTTCAGGTGCTGACGGGTTAGTCTGTCCTGAAAGTAACAATTTCCCTCACTATCTTGAGGCGTGTCTTTCAAAAAAGCAGAGAAACCACACGACATCCCTCCATTTCAGCAGCACTGCTGGCTCCTCGGAGAGAAGAGGGCTTCTCACGCTGGTCGGTGCTGGCGCACGGACGTCACAGAGATGTCCTGGCACCTGGGAAGGAAGGATGGGGGTTACGCCCGCAAGCACACCCACGCACAGAGCAGCGTCCTGTTCTTCAGAAAGGAAGCAAACTCCCACTGGGGGAAGGTTTGAAGGAAAGGGCCGAACATTTTCCACAATTAAAAAAATGCGTGTGAGTAAGGAACCTAGATTTCTTGCTGCACCTTTCAGGACAGGCGTACACTTGAATGTGGACCCTTGCAGAGGTCCAGCACACGCAGAAGCCATCGGGCATGGTGCATTTGTATGGAGTCCAGCAAGTCCCGAGCACGTCAGGCTCTACCTGTGTGCACTGGGCAAGTCCGTTGATAGCTGGCGTGGGTCACACACGGTTTTTCTGTTCCAGGAAGATTTCCAGGTGGAAAAAGGGAACGCACATGGAGTCCTGGTGGGATAATGATTCTGTGTATATGTTTCACACGCTGGTAGCAAGTCCGTTGATAGCTGGCGTGGGTCACACACGGTTCTTCTGTTCCAGGAAGATTTCCAGGTGGAAAAAGGGAACGCACATGAAGTCCTGGTGGGATAATCATTCTGTGTATATGTTTCACACGCTGGTAGCCAGTGCCTCACCTGGAGGGTGGTAGGTAGCCAAAAATGTTTAGTGCCAGACCCAGTGGACCTTCTGCTCCCGCCTCTTTTCAGTCGCAGGAATTCCTGGGCAAGGCATCGAAGGAGGTTGTGCCGTGCCTACAGCATGCGTCCTGTCTGTGCCGACCCAGAGACAGCCATCAGCCCCCAGCCCAGGCGTCGTCACCGCGCCGTGGTGCCCGCTTCTGCGCTGCCTCGTCTTCCTCCTAGCCTTGCCTGGGTGCGAGGAGGCAGTTCGTAGAGGATGGCGGAAATGATTCGGCATTTTTCACACGCTGTCCTGTGATCGGTTTTTCAATAGTCAAATTATTTTTTCTGGTGTCTCATTTGCTGTAACTTGCCAGGAATGAGATGTGCAAACCCTTGCTCTTGCTTCCCATAACCGACATCTTTCGCATCTTGTTCTTCCGATTTTCCTTTCTTGTATAAGTTGAGTTCTTTCCATCGTTTCACCTTATCCTGCATTGTCAGGTTAATGTTCCCTTCACCTGTGTTCACAGAGAATGCAAATAAACTGGAAGAAAGCGCAAGAGGGATCTACATCCCTTGTCCAGAGCATTACAATGGCTTCTGCATGCACGGCAAGTGCGAGCACTCCACTAGCATGCTGGAACCGTCTTGCAGGTAACCCTTCTCCTACCAAGGCTGAAAGGCTACATACGTGAAATAGTGACTTACAAAAACACTTAATCTAGATAAACTATGGAAAATAACGGTGGCCATGGCCCTTTATACTCCAGAACCCCTTAGACTGTAATTATTCAACAAAGTCCCCATCTTATGTGGCAAAAGCATGTTGAGGCTTATCCCTCAGGGCAGATCCTCAAGCCAGCTTCTCCCAGCTCCCACAAGCAGCCAGGGCACGATTTGCTCTTTGCAGCTGCTGCATTTTAGGTTCTCCACTCAGCTGGAAAATGTCCTCTCCTCAAGCTGCTGGCTGCTGTGGGAACGCAGGAGAGGAAAAGGGTGGAAGCTCAAGGCTTAACCCCACTACCACTTCGGAGAGGGGCCCAAGCCACCTGGCTCCATCTCTGATGGCTGCTGCTGCCATCGACCTGGATTTTCGCATCTTCCCCCCGTGGGTTTTTCAGGGGAAAGAGGGCAAGAGCTACCACGGGAAAACCACTGCCTGAGCCCCAGAATCACGGAGGGGAGATGTCAGGCTGCAGGGTGGGAGCTGGCGAGCAGCGCGGCAGGCGGCAGGGGGGGGGATGGTTGCGGCATCAACAGAGGGGTTTTTTATAGCAACCAGACAAAATGTAAATGATGTATCCGCTTGCAGGAACATCTAATCACATTTCATATGGAGCTTGGATGATTGCTTATCACTTCCTTAGGGGTAATCTGCATAAGGAGCCACAACGAGATGGCTTTTCACCCTCCCCCACCTCCCCAAAGAAAGGGAGAAATCTAAAATATGTTGTGGAAGGAGCTAAATGGATTCTCATCACGACGTGCAAGTAGTTCCACCTGATGCTAGGCGAGTCCTCGTTCGCCGGGCACCTCCTGGCACTACTGCAGTGTCATTCAGTCTCGTGGACCTCAGCGACACTGAGGACCTGAAACCTTCCCGCCGAGAGTTCTGAGGAGGCACCGTTGCTCTCTCTGGGGGACCTGTCCCACAAGGAAAAAAAAGGCATAAGCATGCGATGCTTTTTTTTTTTTTCAGTTATAATTTGTTTCGGCGTTCTTCGAAAGCAGCAGGCGTAACTGGAAGAAATATTTTTCATTTCAGATGCGATGCCGGCTACACTGGACAACACTGTGAAAAAAAGGACTACAGCGTTTTATACGTGGTTCCAGGTCCAGTACGATTTCAGTATGTCTTAATAGCAGCTGTGATTGGAACCGTCCAGATCGCCATCATCTGTGTTGTAGTCCTCTGCATTACAAGGTCAGTATCTCTGATGCTTTGCAGTAGGAAAAGAAGATACTTTTGTTTTTCCTGCTCTGTGCGCTGATCAGGCAGATCTCTGCAGTGACACTGCTGATGGCAAATGCTATTTAATTCACCAACAAACAGAAAATATCGCCTGGTCCAGCCAACCCATGCTGCTTTATTATTGTAACCGAATTTTTACTTCCATCTTAATCAAACTTCGGTAGGTGCCTCCAGCAAATGAAGGTTCCTGTTTTGTATGCAGATGCTGGGACAAATATTGTTCATATAAATAAGGGGAATATAAATACAGCAGCTGGATCAACCCTTAATAAAACTAATCATGTCTCCATCTGGTTTCCTCAAGGGCCCATTCCCTTAGTCCTAATCAGGCAAAGCACACAAACTTTTAAGCCCGTTTGCAATCCCGTTGATTAAATGATTTCATTAGGCTCATATACATGTTCAAAGGTACCGCACGTGTTTTGAGGTCTGCACGTAGATGGTGGCACGCCACGATTAACTTTTTCTTTAATGAGGAGGAGGGGTTTGTATGAATGGAAGCGGGGTGGTTGAGAACAGGAGGGGCAGACGCAGTCCCTCCCCTCCGACACCAGCCGCTCGGGTTCCCTGCTGGCCTGTGTTGCTCTCTCTGGGAGGGCTTGGGGTGAGTTCTGAACTTCAGGCGTCTTCAGGCTTCTCTCAGAAATCACGAGGTTAAATCCGCTCAGGTAGCAACGCTGGTAAATCGTTCTCTCAGAAATAAATCTCTTTTGAAAAGACAAACAAATGAAAGCCAGGTATCATACCTCTGTAGGAAAGAAAATCTCTAATATATCTCAGTCCCCGTCTTGCACTGCCTGGCTGGAAGACAAGTGTAGCATTTGTTTCTAGAAAAGACATTAAAAAAAAGAAAGAATTGTGAGTCCTTCCCTGGCCTAAAGGCATGAAACCAAGCCATCTGATGAGACGTAGCTACGGTTTTGGCCAAGCTGAGTCCCCCAGCTCCACGGCAAATGCCTGATGAGGCAATGGATTACATTGTGGTGACAGTCACAAAAGGGATTCAAACAACCGAAAATGCAGCGTCTAGTAAGAAAAAGAAGATGGCCTAGCAACTGGTAGTGGAACAAGTGCTCTGTATCGTTTTATGGAGGGACTCTAGCTTTGTCGCCTCGGCAGAGTACGTTATGCTGAGGAAGGAAGACGGTGCGCTCCGAGTGATCTGGCACTGCAAGGCACATTGCCCGTCACGCTGCCTGCGCACGTAGATGGTGCCTTTGCCCACGCGCTCTGCAGCCAAGAGAATTTATGATCTTTTGACTCTTTTCTGTAATTACTGCAGAGCATCCTCCACCCCAGCGTAATGATTCGAGACACATTTGCAAAAGTGTCACTCGTAAGTGGCCTCAGGGAAACGCACTTGACAGGAGAGCATTGTGGCAGCGTACGCAGAAGTCATGGAGGTTTTGAAGTCATCTGCTTTGGAGAACCTGACCGTACTGGTTTGAACTCCACACCCTTGAAAGCGCTAAAACCACCCTACCAGGTTCCTGGGAGAAAGAAGGGAAGCTTCGCTCGCTCGGAGGCCGCTGCGGCCAAGTTCTTTGCCGCTCAGTTTTGGCACAGCTTCACCTAATTAATTTATCAGAGGAGTTTGGTGCAGTGTCCAAGCCCTGCACAAGACTACCATGAGAGATCTTTTAGCTGTTGTTACTGTTGTTGCTCTTAACATCGAATCTGTACGGTGGTGCAAATCTACGGGGTGTCCTCCGTTGCTGGAAGGCTCTGAGCAGTTCCCGGGCACTTTTAGGGCCGTTGTTGCAGAGACACTTTAATCTGGATAACGGAGCGGTGCCGCTGGCATCAGCCCTTGGCCCTTCCCATGCCTTGGGGGCACTTGGTCCTGCCAATGCCCTCGTGCCACCGTTGGCGCTTGTGTAGCCGCACAGCGAACCCGGTCAGGGGACGGGTTCCGCTGAAAACTCAACCGGCCGACCTGATGATTTGGTTTTTAAGCAGCTCGGTTCCTCGCCGAGGTCGGCCGCCCGGCTGCTCGTCGCTAGTGCCAGCAGCGGGACGAAGCGGCCGGGGTGGAGGAGCAGGGGACCAGAGGCCCGGAGGGAAGGAGGTGGAGCAGCGAGGCACAGTCCCTAAGCCCCAGGACTTTTAGCTCAGAGGTAAGGCCAAAGAGAAGCAATGATAAAAGCGAGGGAGGATGGTAGATAATATAGGTATGGCCTAGTGTCATAATGATTCTCAGCAGTTTTCTTTACAGCTTTGCATTTTTAGTGCTTCCCTAATGTTTAGTCACAGCAGTCTTATTTATGTGAAGAAATAACTTGATTAAAAATGAATGCATAATGTGGTTTACCTGCTATGAATCACATTGTGAGTAACTCGAGCTCGCGAGCGAGCTTCAGGGAGGGAGGGCAGGCAGCCCATGCTCCACTACCTAGCTTACATGGATAAAACTGCTGTGTTCCTAAATGAAAGCATCCCCCACACAGAGCACTACAAAGAACTTTTGATTAAAGAGTTAAGGGCCAAGGAGAAGCTGCCGCTCAGTTTTAGCAGATGATTAAGCCTAAAAGGCTGGTTAAATGCCAGCACCCCTCCTAGCAAAGGCTCAACCCACCTGTCCACGCACCAGCGTCGCGTTTCAGCAGTCCTGGCGTCGGTACGTGGCCCTGGGGCCTGCCCAGGCTTCCATCAGTGGGTAGCGTGGTGCGTTAGGCAAGCGAAACGTGGGCATTTTTGGTTAAAAGAGGCTTTTCCGTCATCTTAATTGGAGTGTCCCCTATGTTTGAATCGATTTCTCGCGACCGTGGACCAAGTGACCGTAAAGATGCCATCGGTGTCGGTTTTGGGAGAGCGCCTGTGGGATGCTCACCCCCTCGCTTCCAGCCGGAGCAGTCGGTGTCCGCCGTTCTCTGGGATTGCTGACCGTCCTGGTCTTCCCCCAGCCGCCCAGTGCCTCCATGGTCCTCACAAAACCAGTCCAGTTGTGCCCGCTGTGGCTTCCCACGCTGGGACAAAGCAGGGCTGCACCTTCTGGCGTGAACCCTCACCCCCCGGCCAAAGTCTGCCTTTGGTTTCGTGACGCGAGCTCTGCCGCGACCTCCGAGCACGCTGGAGACGCAGGCTTATTTTTTCCTGGAGTAAAGATAGCAGCCTCCTTCGCTGCTTCCAGGAAAGGAACGGGGCGAAATATAGCGCAGGGCCGTACAGCTTCTCGCGAGGGGGTGGTCCAAAAGTGAGGCAAGTCGGGACAATCTGACCCATATTTTGCTAGACACGTACAGAGTTGTGGCATTTTGAAGTGCTGCAGAAGTCCTTATGTTCTTGCTCTTGTTTAGCTGGCGTCACAAAACTTACAGCATCGCCCCCGTTCAACGGAGGGGGGGTAAAAAAATAGATGGCCTTTGTGGTTTTAAGGGGTCAGTAAAAATTCATTTCACTCTTTTTTGCTGTTTTGTTGACACAGAGCTGAAGGGAAGCGTGTTGAGCTCTGATTGCACCGAGAGGGTGGGCTCTCCTGGGTGCAGAACCCACAGGGTTTCACGAGGGGCCACTGAGCTTCCCTGTAACAGAAAAACGAGTTAGCCCAATGCAAAGGGATTTTTTTTCCCCTGTGTCAGTGTGGTCTGGAGAATCGTGGGCCACTCCAAGCAGGCGTTGCGGTCTGTCTCGTGTCGCTGCCCACGTGGAGGGCAGGAACAGGCACACCCAGGCTGAAAGCTCGTGTTGGGCTTCAGCTGAAGAAAGGACAAGCATGTGGCTGAATTAGGAATAGCTGTGTCCTCCTCCCACATAAAAAGTTACCTAGGGCAGCCTGGTAAAGGACTGGTTTTATTGCCGGTTGGTTTTCCTGCTGGTACCACGACTGCGAAGAGGGCGAGGGGTTTGGGTGGGTGTTGGTCACTTTGCTGCAGTTCTGTTGCCCGACAGTTCCTGCCATCAGCCCCTTGGCCTTCAGCTCCATAGAGGTTCTGCAGCCTCCCCCCCGGGGCTGAACTTCTCCACGCGATCTGTCCAAGGGTGCCTTTCCCCAGGAGGAACCCAGGAACACGCTATCATCTTCCCTTTAGCGGGAAACACTTCGTAGCAGCCCCATGGCCAGTGCTGCTGCACGTAAAACGTTGGAACGTGCCCTTGCTGAGGAGCACCGGGAGGTCCTGAGGCAGAAGAGATTTGCTTTTGCAGCCGTGCCCAGGGAAACAAGATTTTGTCTTCCCAGCACCATTGCTTTCCGCGCTGAGCCAAGCAGCCGTGTGAGGAGCGGAGCACAGCGCAGGCACCCGTAAGTAAAGTAGCTGCTCACTAATGACCCAAGCCTGGAGCATTTCCATGGAGACCCACAGGGACTGCGGACACTTAGCTCCTCGGAAAGGCAGCCCCTGCATCCACTTGGGAAATGCTTCCCAGGCCGGGGACGCCGAGCAGGTGAGCGCGAGACCGGCTGAAATCTTCCGCCTGCGCCTCACGGAAAATAAATCCGTTGTTTAAAGAAGAGCCCAACGCCAACGGAGAGATGCGGTGCAACGGGCGCTGGTGCGGCGCAGCAGGGCCACCGCTGCTCGCCAGGAAGGGGCCGCAACCTTAACATTTCCCTTGCCATATCAACAGCTTCTCTGGGCAGCCTGGGCCAGTGTTTCACCACTGTGAAGAATTTCTTCCTAATATCTGATCTAAATCTGCCCTCTTTTAGTTTACAGCCATTCCCCCTTGTCCTATCACTACACACCCTTGTGAAAAGTGAATATCTGGGAATATCTGTGTCTACAGGATGTTTTGTGGTTCGTTTGTCTGTCTGGGGGGTTTTGGGGTTGGGTTTTTTTTTCGTTTTACTGAAGGGGAAAGGTGCTGTGGGCCGGAGGATGCCTCCTGCGCCCTCCCGTGCCGTGCTGCCCGCGCCGCCCCATGAGCGGAGGCGTTGCCAAGAGCCGCGTGTTCTCACAGCTCTCTTTTCCAGGAAATGTCCCAGGAGCAACAGAATCCACAGACAGAAGCAAAACACAGGGCACTACAGTTCAGACAACACGACGAGAGCATCGACAAGGTTAATTTAAAGAGCGCATGTTTCCACAATGGCAAAACTAACTGCAGAGAGCTTGGACTACAAAATACAGTATTATAGACAAAAGATTAAGACGAGATCTACACATGTTGCCTTGCATTTGTGGTAATCTACACCAATGAGAACATGTACTACAGCTATATTTGATTATGTATGGATATATTTGAAATAGTATACATTGTCTTGATGTTTTTTCTGTAATGTAAATAAACTATTTATATCACACAATATAGTTTTTTCTTTTTCATGTATTTGTTATATATAATAAATACTCAGTGATGAGAAAAACATTGCCTTTCTTAAATTTGCTGTATCTCATAGCTGTGTATAGTCTTGGGATGTTGTGTATGGACACTAACGACTCTCTTCTTTTTTTTTTTTCTTTTTCCAGTTCTAGTGGCAATTTTGAGTCTACTGAACTCAGTAGTAGGGTTTTGAGTTGGTCCAAGATCAGCGACAATTATGGATGTGGGAAAGGGGAAAAATAATTTAACCTACATTGAGGAGGGATAAAATATTTCAGATCCGGAGTCAACTACATTGCGTCAGCCTTCTTCTCCCATACCATCCACCTTTACTCTCCCATAGCTTAGGAAGTCTTTGGCTTCTAAATTCAGTCCTAACCGAAGGGGAAATGGAAATTGTCGGTAACGGCGATGGGAGTGTCGGGGGTAGCGTTTCGATTTGGGAGGGAATTAGCTGTCTGTCAAGGTGAACCCTACGAGAACGCTTTGCAGAGTCTCCAGCTCTGGTCGCGGGAGTGAGTGAAAATTGCTTCTTGCTGTTGATTGAAAATTATTAGGTTAAAAAAGTTAATAACATAATAACAGCTGAAATGCCAGCACCGTTTGTACCTCATGAACACACTGATACAATTTATTTTTTCAAAGAGAAGGTGAAAACCACTCAGAAAATACCTTATGAATAACTTTGTGGGTGACCCTACTCCATTAAACGTAATGAACTCAAATGTTGGCTACACCTCAGGAAAATAAGGGCGTGTGTTTTGTCACATCCCCATGATGGACAAGGCGCAAAGTGATTTCCGTGGTAGCTGAAACTCTCCAGACCGCACTCTTTCAAGAAGCTAAAATTACTCTAGTTTGTGCTATGAATTTTGAAGACGACAGAGCGAGACGGAAGGGCAGAGTGCAGTACCTCCACTCCCGCTGGAGAACATCCACTCCCCTAATTGCCTCCCAGAGTACCAGTCACTCTGAATCACATAACTGAAGTAAAAACCCCCTCGTAACAGCATTCATTGTGCTGCTCCTTCCCAAAGAGACTCTGCCGAGGCAGGAGGTGCCCATGGCAAGAGTCATCACCGTGTAAGAAATTGTGTTGGGCCCGGGTCAGACCTGGGGTCGCCCGGGATGATGGCTGGTGAGCGTGGTTCCGTTGCCTGCTTCAGTGTCGGTCTGGTCCCTCACAGCCGTCACCACCGGCCCCAGCGGTGATGGTCCACCCGGTCTGGCCGACGGGCGCGGGTGGAGCGATGCTTCTGCTCGAGCACGGGTTTTGGCACCCCCCCCCCCCCATCCCG